CAATTCATCATAAGTAGTTTCCAAATTAAATGAGTCATGATTAGAAATTACCTCATCGTCATCGGCCATGAGACAAAGATTAACTAATTCATTGAGTTCATCGTCACTTTCGGATCCATTTGAATCATCATCCTCCCATGTAGCTTGCATGGCCTTTCCTTTCTTTTTCCTTTCCTTTTCATTTTTATAGGCATAACAATCGGATTTGAAATGCCCCGGTTTTCCACAATGGAAGCAAGTAGGTGCTTCTCTTTTTCCTTGCTCACTAGATGACCCATTTCTTTTGAAGTTGTTGCTCTTTTGGAACTTCTTCATTTGAAGGATTCTTCTCACGGTTTTGGTAATGAGAGCAACTTCTTCTTCTTCTTCATCATGAGGAGCCTTATCAATTGCAACTTCTTTGGTAGTAGCTTGTAGAGCTATATCCTTCTTTTGAGTTTCTTCATCTCTATCATTCATTTCTAGCTCGTAAGCCATTAATGAACCAATGAGTTCGTCAATGGGAAGTGTGTTAAGATCTTTGGCTTCTTGGATGGCGGTCTTCTTTGCTTCCCAATTCTTTGGCAAAGATCTAAGGATTTTTCTTACATTGTCGGATGATGTATATTTTCTTCCAAGAGCTTTCAAAGGATTAACAATGTTAGTAAAACGAGAGTACATTTCACTAATAGTTTCTTTGTTATTCATGGTAAAAAGTTCATATTTATGGACAAGCATATTCATTTTGGATTCCTTAACATGACTAGTACCTATATAGGTAACTTCAAGTTTATCCCAAATTTCTTTAGCCGTTTCGCAATCCGAAATTCTATTGAATTCGTCTTTGCTTAAGGCACAATAGAGATTAGTGATAGCCTTGACATTACATTGTATAAGCCTACGGTCATTGAGGGTCCATTCAATATCGGGTGTTGGAACATTTTCACCCTCTACTATCTTGGTTGGAACATGGTCTCCTTTTTCTACGGCTTTCCAAACATCTACATCTATGCCTCTTAAGAATGCTCTCATTTTGATTTTCCAATAGTTGTAGTCACTTCCATCAAACCAAGGGGGTCTATTGTTAGATTGACCTTCTTGATGAAAATTTGTATTGGCCATGATCGTTCTCTAAGATGATTAATCTTTTTCTAGAGATTAGGCTCTGATACCAATTGTTAACCACTAATTGACTCTAGAGGGGGGGTGAATAGAGTCAATGGCCAATTTTCGCAATTTATGAAATTTATTTTACAACAACTATTATGCAATGATTAATTGAAAAATTCAAGCAATATAAAGCACAAGTATAAAAGAGATAGGAAGATGCAAACAATGAACTCGGTGATTTAGCGAGGTTCGGAAACTCCTACTCCTCGGCTCAAGATCCCCCTTGAGACTTCCCAAATTCACTAGAGCTTCTCCTTAATGGTGGAGAGCAAACCTTCAAATTTGAAGCAAGACCTTGCTTCTTTTCCTTGCTAGGAGAATACCCTTCTCCTAGGCTTCTTTTGGGTTACACCAACCCTTACAAGATTGTAGCAAAGTTTGTAAATGAAATACAAGAATCTCTCTCAATAGATATACAAGTGTAAGCTCACAACTAGAGAATATCAGAATATTAATGAAGCTCAAGTTCTAGGATGGGAGAATGTAGTGATGGTTGAAAGTGAAAGCTCAGAGAAGAATTTAAATGGCTTATTGAATGCTCTTGAATGCTCTCTTGAATGTATTATTCAGTGGTGTAACTACTTCAGTAAATGAGCCTTCCTTATATAGATAACCGTAGCTTAATATGTCTGTTAGAAGTAGTTGGAAGACTTAAATGCAGAAAAGTGCCGTTGTAGATTCAAATTACTTAGAAGAGCCGGCTCTACAAAAAATTGGAGGAGGCTCCAATAAATGGGAGGCGGCTCCAATAACTGGGAGGCGGCTCCAATTCACAAAATGCATTCTACGACACACAATTTGGCTACTGGAGTGCAAAGAGCAGGCTCCTACATTTGGGAGGCGGCTCCAATCCTTGTGTAAGACTAAGAATGAAACACATCTTGTTCTGTGCACTTCCTATTATGAGAGCATGCATAAGTAAAGTTCATGGAAAGATTTTAGGCCTTCTAAAAACTGATTTTTAGAGAAAATATGCATGAACCTAAAAACTTGAGCTTCAGAAGATATTCAAATATGCTTTAACATTTAAATCTAAAGCTCTCACCATCCTATCTACCCTTTTCTCCATTCCCTGACCATGATCTTTTGAGCTTGATGAAGACTTGCTTTCTTCCTTGAAATTGTTTGATTGATCTTTGAAGTTTGAGTCTTTCTTTGATTTCTTGCAATCTTTGAGGCTTCATTGAGTCCATAGCTTGAGTACTTGAATGCTTGAAATGGCTCATCTAGCTCATTATATAAGATATGAACTATATATAACTCAATGAAAATATTAGTACATAAACATCATTAATGGTTTGTAATCATCAAAAATAAGCTTGACCTTTAGATAAAAATCCTTAGGCCAACACCTTTGAAAAAAAAAAAAAAAAAAAAAAAAACAAATTGTTATATAATGCCATGATATAATGATTGGTACTATTATGGATATAATGATTGGTATAATGATTGGTATTATGATTAATTTATTTTGTTTTGATTAAATAGTTTTTGCGTTAAATATTTTTAATAGTAATCTATTTAATGTTAGAACATTAAATTAATATTTGTTAACTTTGATTAATGGATTTGAATTAAATATTTATTTAATTTAAATTGGTATGCATGATATAAGTTTACATGCTAAGGATGGAATTGAATTAATTTTAAAAGAATAAATTAATTAGATATTGCTGGATTAAATTATTTTAATCTATTGCTTAGATTTAAATTAATTTAATCAAAATATGGAGATGTACAATTTAGTTGAGATGCATTTTAATTTCTTGTAATGAAAAATTAAATGCATGATATTTAGAATTGATATTTTGTTCAAGTAAATGCAAAGAATGTGTATATGATTAATATAATGTTTATATATAAATATTATTTACATTATCTTTGGATTGGAAACTTCTCTTTGGTTATGATGTGGATTAATGCACCATTATGGAATGGGGGCATATTAGGGACGGATTAACTTAAAAGTTAAGTCCTACCTATTTTTGGATAAGGGAACGGATTAACCATAGTGTTAAGTCCTACTTATTCTTGTCAAGTCAACGGAATAGTTGGATGACATATTATTAAAATAATATTTGGATAATTTACTTTGATGGTTGGATAGGACGGATTTTATATATATATCTATACACCATGATATGAGCTTGAGTCTCAGGATCAGTGGTTAGGGTGCGTATATTGCCAGGGATATGTAGCTAGATATAGTGTAGTTGTATACCCTGGTAGGTTTAGGTACTCATGCTCACTATATGTGCGTTTTGCATGTTGCCTACTATTCAGGTTGAGACAATTCTATAGTCTAGTGAGGTTCCTTTAGTGTGTATATATCTACGTATGGACTATTTAGTTATTGTTGAATTAATTAAGATGTGTACGTGTATCGGGTCTCTGTTTGGGATGTAGTAGATTAGAACTTGTTTGTGGGCCTGACCCACCATTATTTTTCAGGTGTTCGTCAGTTCCAGTCTTAGAGATTGTTAGTGCCAAACAGAGACAGTCATTCACTCTTCCGACTCTACGTAGGATTCTTCTTCATGGTTTAATTATTAGTTTTATTTCAGTTCAGTTATTTCAGTTAGGATATTATTAAGGGTCCACAATATGGATTCCCGAGTTGTGGTTTTAATTAATTACTGGTATCAGAGGATTGGAGAACTTTAGTATGGGATTTTTAATCATTATTTAGTTTTCTTTTCAGCTTATCTATTTATTTTTAATTCATCTTGTATTCCAATGCTTGTTTAAATATTCATTGTTTGATATCTCTTGTATTATGTGCTTGGACTTGATCACCCGTGGCTCTAGAATCGAGGGGTATCACACATAGTGGTATGGCCAAGAACATAAAGTCGGATGAACAGTGATACAGTAGAAGTTTGGGTTGAAAAGATATTGGGCTGAAGGTATGCAGTAATGAGTTTGGGCTATGAGTTATTTTAAGTCTAATTGGACTGAACAGTGAACTTGGATGATGATTAGGATAACTATAATGCAATGATATGGCAAGAGATTGGGCTGAAAGAGATTGGGTTCGTGGGCCAAGAACATGGAAGTAGACTCCAAGAGAAGAAGCAAAGGCGTGTCAGATTTTACACAAGGGCGTTACTGATTAGATTGCACAAGGGCATTACTGATCAGATGGAATGGTTTTGAATTTAAATATGATAGATAAGGATTATACGTAGTATTTATCCTTTATTTGTATTTAGTTAAGAATTAGTATTTAATTAGGATTAGTTCAATTTGAATAATTTTTCAGTTGTATTATAGAGTTACAATACAATTGGAACGCATGTATTTAGGAAATTGTTTTATAGTTTATTCTATAAATAAACAAAGGGGCATGCTAAGGACGAGGTCTAGCACCCTTAGAATCAATTTATTATTTTTATTTGCTTTCTCAAGCTCTTTCCCAAAATAGCATCCTTGCTATTTCTCTCTATCCCTATCTTCTTAATTTTCGTTTCTCCCTCTTTCCCTCTAAATCTTTTCTCTTTATATTCTTTCTATATCTATTTTCCTCCCCTTTCAATTCTCTTGATAGTTACTATAATTTATCCATTGAAAAGTCCTTTTGCCCAAGGCAATTAGAACTCATTAAGGAGTATTTTTGTTCTCTTTCTCTTATAATCGCCTGAAAGTCAATTTCTCAAAGAGACTGCAAGTTAACTATCCACAATTGAACCATAGAATTGGTTCTGGCACGCTCGTTTTCCATCAATTTAAGATCGGCTCCAGCTCAGCAGATTTTAGCGTCAACAGAAATAATGTGGAAAGTGGGTGACATTAGCATCTAATAGCGAGAATAAATTTGAAGTATTCAATCAGCACTTAACTCTTGAAAGAAATTACCCATGCATTAAAACCATCCTTGCCAAATTTGCAACTTCTCTCATAGCTTCATTCCACCTCTTTATCTTGTCAAATCCCTCCTCTTTTCTTTCTTCCGTCTCTGCCTTAAATCGTTCTTCATGTTTAGCAAATTCTTCTGCAAAACTCCCTGTTTGGTTTCTTACAAGGGATGGATTCACATGATAGAAGACGAGCATAATCATATGACCGACAGCCTTCTTGTGCTCAAGGATATTCAAAAGCTCATCGAGACACCATATTGAAGATGCATAGTCTTTTGAGAAAACAATTATTGATATCCTCAACTCTTGGATTGCCCTATTTAGTTCTAGGGCGATATTCTGTCCTCTCTCCAGTGCGTTATCGTCCCTAAATGTCTGTATTCCTGCATAGAGTAGAGCTGTATAAAGGTGATCAATAAAGGTATTCCGGATGTCGCCTCTGAAACTCAAGAACGCATGATAAGAACATCGAGTCGACGAGGCTTCTTGGGCTCCTATAGCAGCCATTGTACAACGCTATAAGAGATCAATGAACGGGGATATAAGCAATCTGCACAGGCAAAATCATTATTTATATAAGATGTCAATAAAAAATATTATCTACTCAAATAAGCAAATTCAATTAAATCCCATATGCGAACCAAAGTACATAAAGAAAAAACTAAAGGAGATGCTTTAATGAATTATACATGAGTAAAGCGCTAAATGGAAACACACACAACCAAAAATTCAGCCAAAAAATGCTACAAAGTGGATTCCAAAGGTTTTAGCACAACTCAACTCAATAGAATTTCGTCTCAGTCATTTGGTATATGCTACATGAATCTGTTTCACCATTTGCTCTTTCTAGGGTTAATTATAACTTCAATAAAACTACTGCATACTATCATATCTTCCTTACTACATGAACTCGTGTTAGTTTTGTCTTTTTTTCTCTATCATTGCCATCAATGGAGAGCATTACTTTTCTTTACCAGTACAGTTGTTGGTTTTTGCTGCACATTACAAAAACCGTGCTAGTAGATTTTCTTGATTTTATCTTCAATTGATGTTATTTTCACCTTATCATGCATGTGTTCATTTCTTATTTTGTCCTTTGTCTTGACGTAAATCCATCTCAACATCCACATTTCAACAGTGCTCATTTTATGAACAATTAATTTCTTAATTAACAAACATTCTCTCCCATAAAGCATGACTACGTAATAATTGTTGTGTTGTGTTTGGGAGCACCAAATCGACCCTTTGGAACTGTAATTGGGGTCCAGGGCGTTGATTTGGTGCTCTCAAACATAGAAAATTTCCTTGCGACTTTATAGACTCAGTTGATCACACAATACACCATAAGCACTCTTCAACTTAACCACCATCATCGTTGATCTTCCCACCAATTAAGAATTGAGCCTAGGTTCTTTCGGTATTTCTTGACCTTCAATCTTTATTACATCTTCATATATGTTTTCAGTTTTACTAAATTTATATATTCAGTATCAATCAAACTTATTTACATTCCATATGATCTTCTATTTGGATATTAAAATTATTTACGTTCCATACTTGTTTTAAATTTATTCGAATTCCAGGCAGCTTAAATTTTAGAACAAGTTGGTTGTTTGATCTGAAAGAGGAAGACAGACACCGACATAGGTCAACATACCAAGAAGAAAGAAATCAGACCCAGTGGTTAGTTTTATTCAGGCTACACTTATATATATATATATATGTACGTAGTTTCAGCTTTTTTTCATGGACGCGTATTCTTACAACAACAAAACAGAAACAAGGCAATACATACAAAATAAAAATGATCAAAAATTATGTATTTCAATGGTATAAGAGTTACCTTAAATTAGCAAAATCCCCCAAGAACTGGATTGATCACCTCACTGAAAGATTGAATTTGTTATGTTGACTTTTGAAGGGAGAGGAAAGAGCAAAAAGGAGTGAGAAAGAGGAAGGGAAAAACTCAAAAGAAAAAAGGGGAGGAAAAAAAAGGTTAGATAATAGGGGAAGCTTCCCGCAAGTGGACAACCAAACAGTGGACATTGAATCCGTCCATTCTGGAAGGCACAATCTAATCAATATGCTTACCAGCTTGTTAATATGATATTCAGGGTGGGACAGGTTTATCAATGAGGTTGATCTGGTTACATTATTTTATTTTTACTCTTAGAAATATCTATATATATATATATATATATATATATATATATATATTGCTACAATTTATTTATTTTTTGTGTTTGTCAAATGTTTAGATTGAGGTTAAGATCGAATCCATAACGTGACATATAAAATAATTTGTCAAAGTCAATAAATAAATTTTTTTTATTAGATTTTAATATTTTTTTCCTCATAAATATTTTATGAGAATTAAACACCAAAAAATTTAAAAGTAAAATAATAATTTACAACCGAACAAACTTTTAGAATCTATTATGAATGGCTCTAAGTGTAATATAAACTCGTTTCAAACCGAGAGTTAAAAGGTACGGGCTGATAGTGAGGGAGAACTTGATGACTTAAAAGATCTTTTTAGGTCGAGGATCAAAGGTACAAGACTACGGGTCAATTAATCATACTTGATCTTTTTAGGTTAAAACAAACTGTTTAATTTTAACTTTTCATTTTTTTTTTTTTTTTCCCCATGTTTCCTTTTTATTATCTATAAAATTGTTAGACAATACTTTGGATCATGCTCTATCAAGACCAATGTATTTTTCAGCTATTCCCTTGTTCATCTAACATTGTGACATTAACCCTAACAAAATGAGTTTGATCCATATTTGCCTAAACATGATTGATGCTAGGTTAATTGTCACTTAATTCATAACTACATCACGACAGGGACGGAGCCAATGAAGGCCCCCCTGAGTTGGCCAGCAACCTATAATATATATGGTAATTTTTAAAAAAAATTTCATATATATGAAAAAATTTATGTAGTGCCTTTTATTTTCTCTTTTATTTTTCACATTCCTTAAATTTCTTTAGTAGAAAAAGTCAAATTTCTCTTCCTTTATTGAAACTTTTTAACTATTTCCTATTAAAGTTCTTTCATTTTTCTTTCCTTTTATATTTTAAAAATTTTCTTCTTCTTTGTCTTTTTAAATTTTATGGTTGTTATATATATGTGTATATATATATATATATATATATATATATATATATATATATATATGTGTACTCCGTATTGTTTTTTTTTTTTTTTGACAGTGTGCCCCTTCTCACTTGAAATCCTGGCTCCGTCACTGCATCACGAGACCCATGATGAAAGTGTCTCCAAGTTTGATTAAATGAAATACAAAATGAAGTATGACAAAACCATTTTATACTTGGATATTTTCTCTGATACTAAATTTGTTAGAATTTAGTCCATCAAAACATGAAGCAGCAAAATATTTTTCAGAAAATATATATATATTTTTTTTACTGGTATTTGGTTGCCCTAAAATATTTACTATTTTATGCACAGGGAGGGAGATGCACGCACGGTTGAAGTATTCTGCCTAGCCCATTAAAATAGGCACGGCCACCAATAAAAGTAGTCATAGAAGTCAAAAAAATTAGTCAAACAATTTTATGAAAATCTACTCTCAAACTATGGCTGAAAATCAGCTCCAGTTGCACAGTGCACAATTTCCTCCATTTTGGAATGAGTGGAGGACAAATGGCCACGTCACTTAAAAAAGTGGATTAAAAAAAAGTAACTGCACACTGTTGAAGTTGTATTAAATGTGTGTAATAATATTGTATATTTGTGTAATAATACGGTATAGGTTATATTTATACGGCATATTGTCCATTTAGCCCTTACTTATTGTATGGAATTGTCCATTTAGCCCCTAGCCCTTTCTTTACAGAATTTGTAAAGAATGCAAAGAAGAGAAAGAAGGAAGAAGGTCTGCGTGGGAATAAGGTGCTTTGTTGCGTGAAGAAGGTCTGTATGGGTCTGCGAAGAAGAAAGAAGGAAGAAGGTCCTGTGTTGGCCTTTTTTTAGTTGAAGAAAACCGTAACCTCTCTTGTGCGTCTGACGCTTGGGTCTGCGAAGAGAACCATCGCTACATTGAAGAAAACCCTAACCTCTCTTTCCAAATAGAAGCCGGAAGCAGCGATTGTTCTGTGATTGAACTCAAATTTTGGTTGCTAAATCTAAGCAGGTACGAATAATAATTTTCAGATTTGATTTTGAAAGGAATCGTCTTATTTCCATAAGAACTAAATGGCAGAAACAAAAATAATTAGTAAGAATATATAGACACATTTTTGGTAAGAAACCCTAACCTTTCTTTCCAAATAGAATTTGGAAGCTGCGATTGTTCTGTGAATGAACCAAAAATTTGGTTGCTAAACCTAAGCAGGTATGAATCAAAATTCTCAGATTTGATTTTGAAGGGAATCGTCTTATTTTCATAAGAAACAAATATAATTAGTAAGAATATATAAACACATTTTTGGTAAGAAACCCAGAGTGTTACAATATTAAGAAAATGTTTGGTCGTTGGGCTTGTATCGCAACGTTTTCCTAAGTTGACATCCCAAATTCTTCCTAATAAGTATCCTAAATTCCTCCTTATCCGCATTCCAATATTTTTGTAAAGTGAGTCACAACATTTTCCTAATGTACATCCTAAAATTTTCGTAATATAAATCCCAAAATATTTGTAAATTGTAACCTAACATTTTCCTCTGAAGAAAACCCTAACCTCTGTTCTGTGTCTGAGGCTTGGGTCTATGAGGAAAACCATCGCTACATTGAAGAAAACCCTAACCTCTCTTGCTCTTTCTTTGATTGAAGAAAACCGAAGCCTCTGTCTTGCCTTTTCTCTATCATTCCTTTTCGATGATTAAAGAGAACCCCATAACCGATCGCCCTAAAAATCTACAAAGTGCAGAAGTTATTTATTGTTGATTTGGAGTCCTGCTTTCATCAATAGTAAGCGGATGTTCCAAAAGTCTGAAGTTCTGTAGTTGGGTGCGTGTGAATTAGCCATTTTTAGTTTAATAATGCTGCCTAATATGTTGAGCACAGTAGATGAGGTGCCTGATGTTTGCATTCACATGTGTGCAATAACATACATACGACATTGTAAGTCATAAATGTATTTGATTTCATAATGTTTTAGTGATTAAATTGCTTATCTTCACTGCAATTGAGTTTTGAGCATAATTTGCTTTGGTCTTCCTTAGTGATGATCTTGTTTATATTTAAAATTTGTCACATGTATATGATTATAATGTTAGTGTCTATAAATTTGGTTTATGGTGATATAATTTCTATCCACTTAACTTATATTGCATAAACAATTTCGTTTTTGCGTATTTTCTGGTTGACAAATTGGGCAGAAGAGCCAGTATTCCTTGATTTGTTGATATTACCTATGTAATATGCCTTCCTAGAGAAAAAGACTATGTTTATATCATATACTCCGGATAGTTTGCTGTGTAGTAGGAGTATTAGTTTTGAAGTGGTTTGTTTTAGGGAGTAAGAAAATACAGGTTTGTCA